CTAAATATCATGTGACTTTGCCACTTGGCAGAGTTTAAAGCTCTAATTCAGCAGGCCAATTTTGCAAGAGTGCGAAAAGGCAAAAGTTATTTGACATTGCCATTTGATCAGAGTTTTAAATCTTTAATCTGATTTAGATACTTTTTTAAAAAAAAAATTTACTCACGTGTATCCCGCTTACATGGGGTACATGTGAGTACATGCAGTATATACTTTTTGTCTGCTTCACAGGCAAAAAGTATGATATTTTTTCAATTAGTGATGGACAATAGCACTTTAGTATAGTGTTGACTAGTTCTTAGAACTAATATTTCAGGTGAAATTCAGTTATTTTACCCAATCTGAATCTGAAATATAGGTGATATTAGTTTTGTCTAACATTTAAATTTCTGATATTTCTGATATTTCCATAATTGCCCAAAATATGACCTTAATTTGAAATTGCCCAAATTGTCTAAAACTATATTAAATACATAAATCAAATCTGATTAATAGAATTTACACATATGTATATTATATATGATAATCTGTACCCTATATATTGCATCAGTATTACAAGTACTGGTATATATCAGTTAGATCAAGGGTTATGCATACAGAGTTTATTTTAGTTATCATATTAGTAATTATAGTATAATAGAGTTAAATATTATAAAAGGTAAGAATTGTTAGTAAATCGATTCTTTTTCTCAATGAATAAATAAAATATAAACCTTGTGTCAAGCATAAGTGGTGCCAAAGTGAAAGTAGTGTGTTGAATGAGAAATATATCAAAGTAAGGATGTGAGAATATTAGTATTAAAGTGAAGGAGCATATCAAAGTAAAGAAGTAAGGATATTAGTATCAAAGTGAAGAATTAAGAAGAAATAATGTAGCAAAATATAAAATAAAGTAAAAATCTTATCTTAAAAAAATAAATAACTTGACCCTAAGCTAAATTTCAGGCAAATACTAACTATTTATTAATTCTAGTAATGTTTACATTAAGTTTAAAGAATCAGAAATAAAGTTTACACATTCAAGTATGTAATTGAATAGATTCCTATTTGATGAACTAAATAATACTAAAAATTGGAAAATTTTGTTTTATATTTTCTGTAACCTGGTTGAATAGTATCAGTATATGGTAAATCTATTATGGTAATTAGATAAACTACCTAATATCATTACATTCAAGATTTTAAACTGTTCTAAAGAATTCATTTTTAGCTAATAATGGAAGTCTTTTAGAACAAATTCAAGATCATACCCAGTATTAAATTAAACTTCTTTTAGATATTAAAGTGATTTATTTGATATTTATTAAGCTGAAAACATTCATGCTAACTTTAGTTTATAATATTCTATTAGTGAAATTATTAAACTTTTCAGATCCAGAACCAGTAGATTTGTAATAGATTTCAGTTTGAATTTGCTCTAGGACCCAAGTGCTATATTGAACTGGTAAAAATTGATGCAATAATCCTGATTCAAACAAAAATAGCCTTATTACATAATATATTTTTTTTAGAACAATCAAATTTATGATGTATATATACTATAAATAGTTCTACTATCAAAGGGTAAAAAATCTATATAGCTTTTACATATGTATAATGCCTTATTATCACTATATTAAGAATCAGTTGTGAACTATATGATGTATATATACTGTAAACAGTTCTACTATCAGGGTAAAAATAGCTATTTGCACATATATGATATCATGATTATTACTATTTTAAAAAGAACATGTCATGAACTAATGCTAATTCAAATTTCAGTTCAGCGTATTTTTTTGAATTTTAATCACATTAGCAAAATAACTGAAAATTCTGATAATGATATGGCTTCTCCTATTGTTTCATCTAATACTCCTATACCAAAAACAAGTAGAAAACCAAAATCTATTATATAGAGAGATTATATTAAGCAAAGAAAGCCAATTTCCAAGAGATATTGAACTGCAACATGCAATTATTATAACCAAGTTTGGTACAAAGGTTCTCCTGCTACTCTCAAAGACCACTTAGGTAATTTATGTAATAACATGCCACTGGATGCTTATGATCTATTTTTAAACCAGTTAGCAACAAAGGCACTTGAAGTTGATATATCAAAATCAAAGAAACGAAAACTTGGCAATCTGTCAAATCAAGCATAACTTTCAGATTTTATCAAAAGTACAAAATTGATACCAGAACATGTTAAAGATATAAACAGAGTATTGGTGAAAGCTTTTGTTGTTTGTGGAATCCTATTTCATATTATTGAAAACCTATTTTTTATTAAATTATTAAAAACATTATGTCCAGCATATGAACCTCTGTCTAAAGATATCCTTTCTAGTTATTACTTGGTACATTTGCTAATCAGGTGATTATTAAGAAATTAAATAGTTCAAGAAATCTAACTATAGGTAATAAATATACAATCATTATTATGGCTAATACTAAAGCTTTTAACTAAAAACTTTTTATTTATTAGCATATAATGGTTAGAGCAATCTTTCTAATGATTCTATTTGGAACTTTGTTGTATATACTCCGGATTGTTGTCAATATCTGTGGCATCATTGAAATTTGTCAAATGAGAGACATACCCAAGAACTTTTAGCAAAAGAAATCACTAATATTTTAGAAAAAATTAGACCCAAAAAATTTTTAGCAATCATAATAGATTCAGGTGCTAATATTAAAGCTATGTGTCATATCATTGCAGAACAATACCTAAATATTTTGAATCTTAGATGTATTTTGTATGCTGTTAACCTTATTTTAAGGGATATTTGTAAGACTTCATTTGCAAATTGCATACTTACGCACTGTAATACCATAGTTAGCTATTTTAAAAGAAACCATCTTGCAGGTTTGTAATTTAAAATATTTTTTATTATTAATAATATGATTAAATATATTATTAAAATATTTTAATTATAAGAAGTACACTTAAAATTCTAGCTGAAGAAAATATGGTTGAAAAAGAAAGACTTAAGTGGTAGGTGGATACCTATTGGCACACTATGTATGATTGTGTATTTTTGATTACAAGACATAAAGTGTCTCTAGAAAAAGTAAGTTGAACAATACAATAATATAATACTTTTTTTGTTAAAATTTTAATTTAATAAGTTATTATTTTAGATTCATAATAGTGATAATATAAATATTTCAGTGCAGTTAGTACTATACACAGGAGCATTTTTTGATAATTTAAATGCAATAGCATTTGTACTTCACCCTATTAAGCTAGCTATATCAATTCTTGAATCACAATATTGTTTACTAGCTAATTGCTTTATTGGTCTAGTTCATTTGGAAGCAGCAATTAGGAAATTTCTAGAAAATGATTATTGTAATTTTCATCAACAAGCAATTACAGTTTTTAATAGAAGATTTGCAGATTTTAATAACGATGCATATATTTTATGCTTTTTTTTACATTCTGAATACACTAGTAAATTATTTATTTTTAAATTTAAATTTAATTGATTTACATTTTACTAAATTTTATCTTAATACAGATATATTGGCAAAAGGAACTTTTTGGCATATTCTTTTGGTGGCAGATAGTTTCTATAAAAAAATATGTAAGAAACTCAAAGAAAGAAAAATACTGATGTCTCAAATGAGAAGCTATCGACATCATATTACGCCATTCGATATACTATTTGATGATAATGAATCTCCTTCAGTTTGGTGGATGTTATTAGAGGTTTGTTTTTTAAAAGATGAGGATCATATTTGTTAATTAGCTCATATGCTACTTTCTATAACACCATATGCAGCCGGATGCAAAAAAATTTGGTCAAAATTAGGGTAGTATTATAGAAAATGTTGAATGCATCTTTCTTTAGACAAAATTGAAAATATGCAAAAACTTTCTGCTTTTTATCTTGCAAATTCAAAGAATAAGCTACTATATTTTTCTTCTAATACTAAAAATTTATATAAAGTATTGTCTAATATAAATTTTTGTGATGATGATTATAATAAACATCTTAATGAAGAAAGACCAGTGAATGAAGAAAAATTAGCGAATGAAGAAAGACTAGCGAATGACAGAAGACCATGGAATAAAGAAAGACTAGCAAATGAAGAACCTACTAATGAAGAAATGAAGGATATTTTCATACTGCTAGAAGTATTAAAAATCGACGAATTGTTGAATCTTGATGCGACTGATTTTACAAATAATCTAGGTGAATTAATTGTTGATACTAATTTTGAATTTCCTGATGAGAAAAATATTATTGTTCAGGATAATAATATAGAAAATGATGAGGATTGGAATTCTAAAAGAGAGACCAATGCAATGTTAAACTAATATAGTTTGCAAATGTTTTCTTGCATCTAGCCAACAAATTTATAAATATCAGGATTAATAAAAGTTTGGCATTCAATATTGATTATTATTGCTTATTACTCAACTAATTATTACTTATTATAATTCATAAATGCAATACATGCATGATATAAGGTAAATATAGGTATTATGGCGCAATTAAAATAAATTTAGTATAACTCGTGATCTATTGGTCCAAATTAAATAATTTTGGTACTATTTGATTTGTTTTATCAAGACAAATCGAATGGTACTAAAATTGTCTAATTTAGATTACAGAATCATGAGTTATTAATGATTGTATGTATATAAATTTTAAAGAGTAATGTAGCACAATATGGGTATTATGGTGCACTAGTAATAACTCATGACCTAGTAATCAGATTTGGATAATTTTACCACCAATCGATTTGTCTCAATAAGACAAATTAAATGACATAAAAATCACCCAACATCGAGTGTTAGATTTCAAGATATTATTATTTAAATATTATAAGCAAAGTATAGTAATTAAAAGAAAATCTGGAATAACTTGTATTCCTACGTTCCAAATTGAATAATTTTTATACTATTCAATTAGTCTTATTAAGAAAATCAAATAGTACCAAAATTGCTCAATTCTAATCACTGGGTCATGGGTTATTAATGATCATGTGTGATACAAAATTAAATAAATATAAAATAGTGCAATTGGAGTATTATGATTTATTGGCAATATCTCATGATAAAGTAATCGATTTAAATGATTTTACTACCAATCAATTTATCTAACTAAGACAAATCGATTGGTACTAAGATTGTGCAAGTTTTGATAATAGTTTAGTTTTGTTTGGGTCTATCTATTAGACTTTTCTTCATTACTTATTTTAGTTTTACTTGTATTTTTTTTTTTAGTTTTTTGTAATTAAATACAAAGATTCTTTAAATTTTTTTATTTTTTAAATTAATTTTTTTTACTTTATAATATGTTAGTTTTTTAGTTTTAAATCTTAATTTTTCAATTTGTTCTACTAGATAGTCTACAGTTTCTTTGTAGCAGTAGTCTTGTTTATCAAATATAATTATTTCTAATTGTATTATAGCAAATTTATATAATTCTTGTAAAGCGTTACCAGTTTTTTTTACTAGTTTACTTTTTTTACAGATATTTTATAGTCTAGTCTTGTCTATAGTTTTTGTAATAAAGAGTTTTTTTTTAATTTTATATTTAAAAAAAACAATATAAATTTTTTCTGTTTTTTTGTAAAATCTTTTATTTTCTTAAGTTTTTTTATAATTCTTTCTTATTTTTTTTCAAATATTAGTTTAATTATTTTATTTTTTGATTTTGATTTATGTCTAGATATAAAGTTGTCTGTGTTTTTAATTATTTTAAGTTTAGTTTCCAATATCACTTTCTTTAATTCTTCAATTAGTTTTGTTAAATATATTTCTAGCATGCTTTCTAAATATTTTATATCTTGTTCTTGTATTTATTACTAGTTTATGTTTCTATTGATTCAGATCTGTTTCTGGTTGTTATTATTTTCTTAATATAGCTTTTGTAATAGTTTTGGGTAGTATTCTTTCTTGTATTGCTGTAGCTCTTATTTTATTTCTTCTTTTAATATATTTAAAAAAGTCAGGTAACAAGATAAGTTTTTTATTAATTAAAAGTTTAATAATTTTCTTTTGAATCTTGGTTCTAAATTATAATCTTCTCTTTGTTTCTATCTAAAAATTCAAGCTATTTAATATCTATATTTTTTGTTTTAAAGTTTCTGGTTTGCTAAAATAAATAATGCTAAAATAATTTAGTTTTGTTCAAAATAGTCTTTTTTTGCAATTTATTTAATTCTTTAAATAGTAAACTGTTCTTAATTTTTCTTATTCTTTGATAAAAGAAATAGTTGTTGTTTTAAGTTTTTGTATATAAGTTATATTGTAGTTTTTGGAGTTAAATGTTTATATATAAACCTTCTGGTTTTTAATTCAATTTTTTTTAGATCTTTTAGAGTTTGTTTTATTATAGATTCTGGTTGTTTGATTTTTTAATATATTTACAGTTTAACTATTATCTATTTTTAATTTCTTGTTAGTGTCTTTAAATTAGGTTTATCAGTGTTTTACATTTTTGTTTAGTACTACTTCTGCAAAAAATTCTTTTGTATCTTAGGATATTCTTCTGAATACTAATACTAATCAATATTCAACAATTTATATTAGAATTTCTAGTGATAAAAGAAATATTTGAAGTAAAATTAAACATGTTATAATTACTTTTACTATTTTTAATAATAATAATAATGTTTTTTTTTAATATTTAGGGAAATACCCAGGTGTAGCACCTGCTTCAAACTTTTATTAATACTTAAATAAATTAAAATATAATAGTATTATAAATATATATATATTATATATTAATATTAAGACCAGAACTTTAGATATACAAACTAT